AGCAATGAACAACTCTATTAATGACGTTTGTACGTCTATCAGTATCATTGCGTCAAGGTACGCTTGGTCGTCGTCATGGCATCACAAAATCTTCTTACAAAACGCGCTTACTTTAACAATACTTTATGCCAGCCTCGGTTCTAACCAGAGAATACTGTGCAGCTCATTTACATAGTAACACCTTTGATTAGTGATGATCCAGTTTTTCCTATTACTAACCGACCGCCTTGCGATTTCTTTAAATAATCAATTCCTAGTCCAGGGAGATTCTTCTCTCTGTAAACTGTTGGCGACACGCAACTTGTCGGCCCTGCTCATAGCACTGCATGCTCGCGGATTGGTGTAGCTGGTGGCCAGGCAGATGCTTAGCCTGAGTAATATCGGAGGTATTCCAATTAATACCGCATTAATATATCACGGCGAACATGTATGCTGTAAGTGCGGTATAATTGAGCTCCATCAATCCATTAGCAAGACATTCGATACAAAAACAGATTGCAAACCGGGGTGCACGATTTTCTTCAGCGTGTTGAATCAAGACGCCGTCAACAAAAACCGCACTGCTTGTTGGATACCTAGCTCTACCTTTGGCTCATTTTTCAAAGGTTAAGACTGCCCCCCCCCCCCCCCCCCAGTATAAATCAAATATCCACTCGCGGATCCAAATGGTTGGACATGTCGACGTGAATAGCAGTTGAATTAATGACTACATACATGTACTTACTACTGGTATGCAGCAAACAGAGCCCACCGCTTGTTTCGGACACGAGTGGAATTCATTTAAGGACACTATGTTGTGCCTTAGAGTGCTCAGCGCACACCCCTAGTCATTAATCCTACGGAAAATCCAGCCCAAAAAGTTATCATCCCACCTGTCAGGCTCTGGGGTCCTTCGAATTGGAGCTGGGGTCCCAGTCGCATTTGGCTCGAGAGTTGGAGTCGGCGTTGGCGTCTCTGTCTCTTTGTGTTTCTTTTTCTTCCTCCGTCTCCTCTTCCTCTTCTTCCTTCTCCAGGCTCTCTCTTCGCTGCTTGAGCCGTCGGAAGATGAGCTCTCGCTCTCGTCATCATAGTTGTCATCGTCGTCTTCCTGAAGCATGTCGTTGTCGTCATTCTGGAGCGTGGAGAACACGTAGCCAGTCGGGGGCTTGGTGGCTACGTCGTTCTTGGCCTCACTGATCAGGAACCGGTCCGTCTTGCCTTCCACGTAAGGCTGGTACCGGGCTTCAGCAGGCACGCGTAGCGACTTGGACTTGGCCGAATTGGGGACAACCTGAAGCCCGTCAGCACTCGTGACCAAGGCAGCAGCTGCCACCATCGCGAGAAACTGGACTCGCACCATTGAGATATTGGTATGCCTTCTTCGATGCCTTCTTCAATACCGTTCTTGTGCTTCTGCTCTCGGCTGATGATTGCGGACTGGTGTGGTTTGGTGGCAGGTTTCGATTCGAGTGGCTGCCCTTCGGAGCTTATGTGCCTCCCCTACAAATCAGGAGATACCC